GCGGCAGGTGAGTGAACCCTGTCTCATGGGGCACAGGGCAGCTGTGGGGCCTCTGGGATGCTTTGGGGGTGCCTCGACTCCCAGGGTATCTTCCCCCTCAGTGCTCTGGAAAATTAGGCGCCTCTTACACCCCACTCCTGGCTTACCCCCACCTGATTCATACCTCCCTTTGCTCCCTCAGATGCCCGAGTTGCTCCAGCCAAGGATGTTGCTGTCCCTGTCCCCGTCCCTGTTCCTGAGAAGGCGGCTTCCAGCCAGTCAATCCAGACACCTGTGGAGCAGCTGGAGCCACTGACAGCAGGCCCCCCCCCCACCACACCACCACGCAAGCACAAGGGAGTGGTACAGAAGGCAGCCGGGACTGCACAGGCGGGTGTTCCCCCAGGGGTCTCCCCATCCTCTGCTCCCCATGAGGAGGGTCATCCGCCAGACCCCGAGCTTCCACCTAACATCACTGTCTGTGTTCCCCCTGAGCTGATGTTCACCCCTCCTCAGTCTGTTGCCTCTCCCCACACAGACACCCCCATCCAGGGGTCCTCTGAGCCCCCCACGGACACTTCCCCCCTGTCCCAGGCTCTGTCACCTTCCAAGTCCCCCCTTGCTTCCCCAGTGTCAACTGCCCCCAGTCCAGCCCCTACACCATCTCCCACGCCCAACACTGCACCTGCACGGAAGATGCCTCCCTACATGGTCACCTCCTTTGTCTCCATGCCCCCCACATCATCCCCTATGCCAGAGCCCACCACCACCCCCACCACCCCATCCTCCAAGGAGCCCCCAGCTGAGAGTGGGGTCCCAGGGGCAAAAGATGGCACAGCGCTGCGGCAGGGCGTCCCCCAGAAGCCATACACCTTCTTGGATGAGAAGGCGAGGTGAGTAGCCATGGAATGGGATGCTCTGCCAGGGGTGTTCTGCCCCCAGCACTCCACAACAGAGATGCTGAGTGCTACCTTATGCCGCAGGGGCCGTTTCGGCGTGATTCGGTTGTGCAAGGAGAATGCCACAGGGAAGCACTTCATGGCCAAGATCGTGCCGTATGAGGCAGAGCGGAAGCAGAGTGTGCTGCAGGAGTACGAAGTCCTCAAGGCACTGCACCATGAGCGCATCATGGCCCTGCACGAGGCATACATCACCCCTCGCTACCTGGTGCTCATCTGTGAGAACTGTGCCGGCAAGGAGATCCTCTACAGCATCGTGGACAGGTACAGGTGGGAGTGGGCCTGCCAGGGACAGTTGCTGGTACAGGACTGCCCACTGATGCCACTTGCCCCCAGGTTTCGCTACTCAGAGGATGACGTGGTGAGCTACATACTGCAGCTCCTACAGGGCCTCGAGTACCTGCATGGCCGCCGCATCGTGCACCTCGACATCAAGCCAGACAACATCATCGTCTCGGGCACGAATGCCCTCAAGATCATTGATTTTGGCAGTGCCCAGACCTACAATCCCCTTGTGCTGCGGCAGCTGGGGCGACGTGCTGGCACCCTGGAGTACATGTGTGAGTGGGGCACCAGGGGTGTGGTGGCAGGGGGGTGGGGATGAGGAGAGGGAAGGAACTGGAGCATGCTTGTTCCCAAAGGTGTGCATGTATGCCCATGGACTGGGGAGCTTGGGAATTGGGAGGAACTGTGTTCTTGGGGGAGCTGGGAGCTCTGTGAGAGCTGCTGGGGTCAGTGGAAGAGTTTGGAAGCTGTGGGGCAGTTGGGGTCCCTTTGGAGGTGCTGGGCTCTGTTAGAGTATTGGGATGTCAGGCTAGGGTGAGTGTCAGGGAGGGGTGCTGGAGGGTGTAGTAGTGGGGTGCTGTGGCTGCTGTGGATGCTTGGCTGCTGTGGGTGTTGGGCATACTGTGTGTGGGTGCTGTGGATGCTGGGGATATGTCAACTTCTGTAGGTGCTGAGGATACTGGGGATGCTGTGGGTGCTGGGGCTACTACAGGTTCTGGAGGTGCTGGGAGTGGTGTGGATGCTGGGGCTGGTGTCTCAGTGTGTATGACAGACCTGCTTCCCTGCCCACAGCGCCAGAGGTGGTGAAGGGGGACCCAGTGGGCTCCGCAGCAGACGTCTGGGGTGTTGGAGTCCTCACTTACATCATGTAAGAGAAGGGGCCGGGGGATGAGCAACTCAAAGTGTAAGTCAGCCTCATTCGGGGCTTGGTGTCATGGGGGACACCAAGCTGATTGTGGGCTGAGGGATGCTGTAGCCCAACAGACCCTTCTCAGCTAGACATGGGGATGGAGACACCCTGGGCAGCTGTGGCTGTCCCCAACCAGGGAAGGGGGAGGGAGGGTTATGTGCAAGGGGACCTCCCACCACTGTTCCCCAGCCCATGCCACCCCCTCCACCACCACAGGCTCAGTGGGCGGTCACCATTCTTCGAACTGGACCCCATCGAGACGGAGAACCGCATACTGGCAGGGCGCTTTGATGCCTTCAGGCTGTACCCAAATGTCTCACAGACTGCTGCCCTCTTTATCCGCAAGGTCCTCACTGTCCACCCCTGGTGAGTGCCTGGCCCAGCCAGGGAGGATACGTGGTCCCACACTGTGCCTCTGACCAAGCCAGCTCCCTGCCACATGGGATCCCTCCAGACATCATCAGTGGGACCCTGGGGTCCAGCCCTGCTTCTGGAGAGGTTTGGGATCTCCTAAGCCCAGGGCTCTGGAGTCCATTCCTGCTCTTGGCAGTGGATATCTGTCCCTACTGGGATCCCTGAGTCTTGCAGGGCAGGGGCAGTGGTTGGGTTTGGGGGGTGGAGCATCAGTAGGTACCTCGAAGTTCCTGATGCAGAGCTGGCTCTACCCCAGGAGCCGCCCCACGGTGAAGGACTGCTTTGCCAATGCCTGGCTTCAGGATGCCTACCTGATGAAGCTGCGCCGCCAGACCCTGACCTTCACCACCAACCGCCTCAAGGAATTTCTGGTGGATCACCAGCGGCGCCGTGGTGAGGCTGTCACCAAGCACAAGGTCTTACTCCGCTCCTACCAGGGCGGACAGCCACCAGGGCCACAGTAGCTGGTGCCTCGGCCACGGCCATGAGGGGCCGAGGAGCCAGAGGAACATTCCATGGGCCGCAGTACAGGGCGGCTGAGGAGGAGCCAGGACGCACTGGGATGAGTCCATGGACCTCATGTGCTGCTGCCAGGGACAATGGTGACCAGCATCATTTTGGCAGTGCCAATGGAGAGGAGGTGCTGCCCCAGCCAGACCAGCAGTGGGGTCCGGCAGTGGGCAGGTGGTTGGAATCCTTGCTGCAAGGAACAGAGAATGTGGCAGAGGGTCGGGAGAACAATGGGATGCAGACAGTGGGGCAAGGGAAGCCCCAGGTGGGAGGGGGAGAGCTGCCAGCATGCCAGCCAGCCATGGCCATGCGGGTCCCATCATCCGTGTGCCTTACACTGCAGCCTGCAGCTGCCCCCAGCCACGGTGTGTGGGTCCCTGTGCTCCCCCTGGTTTGCACACCAGCACCCAAGGACTGAGATTGCTCCTGTGGTTCCTGCAGAGAGGGGCCTGCTCACACCTCCCTGCCAGCCAGCACAGCTCCAGTCCTTACAGCTGGGAGTGGGGGCTGCCAGCCCCCCACCTTCTACTTTTTCCAGCCCTGGTCCTGGCAAGTGGGTTTGTGGCCCCAGGACCGATGCCGGTGCCTTCCCCCGGGCTGTCAGCTGTGCCCCGTGCCAGGGCAGGGGACTGGCAGGCACCCCCTCTTCGCAGGGGGGCACCCAGGTGCCACGCACACCTCCTGCGTCTGCTCAGGCCCATGCTGCTCGTGCTCTGCCCGCCCAGCTCCAGACCTTGCCCTGTGCCCCACTGCCAGCCTGCCCACCTATCCCCAGACTCTTCACCCCTCCCATCTGATCCTGAGTGCCTTGCCGAGCCCTGTGTCCCCTCCCCACCCCTCCCCAGCTGGTGGCAAGATGCTCCAGCATGGCCTGGGTGCTCTGAGCAGGTGGACGGGGGCAGTGGTTGGGCACTCCCCTTCCAGATGCTGCTGTAGTGATAGGGCTTTATTTATTGACTTTGAGGAGAAGACGTCTGCCTGTTCCCATCCCCATCCCTGTCCCCTCCTCTCTGCCGGGCTCTGGAGTTGCCAATGTCCCCGTGGTTTGGAGCAAGCAATGTGCCAGAGCAGCAATAAAGACCCTGAGCAGCTCCTCCAGTCTCAGCACTTTGTTGGGGGGGACTGTGGGAGTGAGAAGTGCAGACCCTGGTATCTCGGGAGGTTAAGGTTCCGAGGCCAGGAAGGGTTCCAGGTGGGGCTGGGCTAGGAATGGTATTGGAAACCTGGTGAAGAAGGCAGGGAAGCTGCAAAGTACTGGGATGAGCGCAGGGGAGCTGATTCACATAGCCCTCACGTCATGGAGTGAAAATATGGGGTGTCAGAGCGCCCGACATGTCTGGGACAGTGAGACAGCAGGGACGGGCTCCTGCTGGGGACACGGCGCGTGCTCGTGAGGGATCTCATGCCCGGCTATAAATACCCACTGCCCATATGAGGCCGGGCCGTGCCGGCAGGGGCTGCTCTGGTTACAGCCCGCCGCCCCCCACGGCTGCCCCTCGCTGCACCCACCGGCCCCTGGGCGCTGTGTCTGCCGCTGTGGGCACGGGCACACGGTACAGCCTGGCGCCTACGGGCTGTCACACGCTCCCCCGACACCCACGCGAGCTCACACGACTGTGCGCGTTGCACACCTGTGTGTCCAAGGGCGTGTCAGAGCCCACGGTGTCCCCCCACCGCACACCGACGCTCTGGGGCACACGCACGGCCACAGCAGCTCCCTTGCACCCTCATGCTGCCCTGCGCAGACCCACACACGGAGCTGCTCTCCGCACACCCGCACGGACCCGCACACTCTCACACGGCCAGCGCCGCTCCCTACACACCCGCACGGCCCCGCACACACCCGCACACACACACACGCACA